CTCAAATAAAATTTCAAGCAAAATTTTTTTGTGAGCTTGTTTTTTTTCCTGACCTTGCTAATGATCTATAAACTCGTCGTAAAATACATACATCTGCATACCTTTGCATACTTAATTACCATATTTATTTATTGGCATATTTATTAATTCACATATTTATAAAGTGTGTGCATATTTATTGTATACATATGTAATAATTATAATTGTTTAGTCCTCAACACAAACTTTAATGCTTATCATAAACAAATCTTTACTAATTTTACACCGAAATTACCAACAGAATCATATAATACAACAACAACGAAATGAACGTTGTCCTCGATGAAGTCACAATGGTGAAAAAATGGCCAACTTCAACCCCCAAAGATCTCCAGCTCTTTACCTGCTGCCGTTCATATTTCGAGATATCTTGCAAACTACAGTATCTCTTGAACTCTCCCGAAACCGTTCTTATCCTCACCGCGATTGGAAATAAGCAGTAAACCGCCGCTATTATAAAGAAAATTATAAAACCCGCCATCCCCGTTAAAGGAATTGGGACACGACCAATCAGTTTGATCAGAATGTACCCCACCAGACATCCCGCGATCAGGCCGACCATCAACGTTACCGGCAAAATGAATCCAAATACCATGTTTTGTACAGTGTTAATAATTTGAAATTGGCGGTACCTAGAATAATTTTGGTTAAACTTAGACACCCGCTTTGCCGCCGCGGGAAATATTAAGGATACAAATTCGCATTCACTACATCGGCGAAATTTGAGGGGTCTTGTCATCAGCTGAAGACACGTTACTATGGGAAAGGTCCCATTAAAGATTAAAGCTATGGCGCCAAATATGATATTCGTGCCGTGAAAGATAACAGCCCCCGCGAGAACGGCTCGTAATATGATTTTTGCACAGGATGGGATTAACGGGATGTATCGAAACCAGAATCTGGTTGGGTCAGAGGTGTGTTGCATGAGTGGGGTAACTGCCCCCAGCAATGAGAAAAGTAGGGGAAAGGGAATTATTCCGTGGAAAAAGAGACCAAGCTTCGTTGTGGCGAATTCTGTGAGGTATCCTGAAAAGGAAAGAAGTAAATCAGAACTCCCAAGAAGAATCCATAGACTTGCACATTTGATAAATACACATAATTAATATCCTAAAGCTGTTTTGCAAATACATAGGATGAGTCACGATAGATTGAACGTTTCGTAAATCTGGCCCACTGGAGAAAATATCTCGTTGTTCCAACTACGGTCACTAATCCTGTATATATAAATATTTTGAACCTGAAAGTTCATTTTTTTGCGACACACATATGTAACGCTGGAAAAATGGGTGCTATATTTGACCCACGTGGTTTTGAAGCCATGCTCTTTGACCGATTGTTATGACATAAATATGTATTGCCTGAGAAGTGGTACGGGTTGCTTATATATGTAAATACATAGGAGGAAAAAACAAGATCCAATATCTTACCGGCATCCTGATTAGCGTATCGATTAATCACTTGGATGTTTCCCAGAGCGAAGCAGATTTCCTCGAATCGAAATATGCACGCTAAAATCGCGTTTAGTGCGAGGAGCTGAATGTCGATGTAGTAAACCAACACCAAGATGTCGGTGCATGATACGTCTGGATCTTTGCGGAACGATAAAAGCTGACTTGTTACGGTGAAGAGGTGAATACATGTGGAAAAGGCGATCAAAATTGATGCGAAATACCACGTGATCAACTTATATCTCGCTCGAGGGGCGTTTGGTTTCCCCATCAGTTCGTCCAAAGTGATATACTGTGCGTAGAAGCGGGTAGAATTGAAGTTGAGGTAGCGCTGCATAGCGGGAAATATGCCTAACGATTTTGTATCAATTTTCCCCCAAATAGACACCCAAGACAGGATTGAATTCATTATATCCAATGTTAGAAATCTGGTAATGCCAAGCAGGGATGTATTGATTTCTAGATACAGGGTTTGGCACGTACGTGGATACGAATTTGACCTTGAATAACCCCGGAACGGTTTGTCGTAGCGGGTCAAAATTTTGAACAGAGGAGCATGTTATCCTCAGATACGCGTGTGCAAAAATTCAACTTTCTACTTGCAAAAATGCCTCCCCCACAGCCCCCAGAAGTTCAAACACTCATTTTTACTCTTTCCAAATTCCGTCTAAAAAATTCGATCTCCGCAGAAAATTTTTGTTTTCAAGTATCCGACCCCAAATAAGTCCATTTGACTTATGTCGGGGGATTGTACAGGTATTTCACTATTCGAAATGAGTTTTATCCCCAATCTAGCTTCAAGGTCCTTTGCATTATCTTGGATCAACTTTGCCGTCTGGGAAGACGCTCCGTCATGATGAAAACTCACCTTAATTATTTTTTTACCGTGCAATTTAAGAAAGTGATATTCTAAAAGTGGTTTCTATACACGGTCCACATCATACTTCGAAGATTCCTTCACTTTTTGGGGGACTTTGATAAGTGGGAGGACACCACGACCTGACATTGCACCCACGACCACCAACTGTTTAAAAAAGTTCTACTTACAAAGAAGCACCAACTTGAGTGAATTGTTTTCGACATTTGTCGTGTAGTAAGCTCTTCGAACCTAATTAGTAACTTGTAGAGAAATTAGTGCTTCGTCAAGTGTCACTAATAACTCACTCTTATTCCTTCACAAAAAATTCGAATAATTTTTTTTGTAAACACGGGCGCGAGTTTTTTCCTACTTTTCAGTCAGCTGATGCACACGGCTTTTCCGACGAAGTTGTTTCTTCAAAATGTTAATTTCTCTTTTCACTGAACGCTTAGACACCCCAACCTTACGGGAAATTTCCTTTTGGGTCAGTGGATTGTTTTCGAAGGTCAATAGGTCAATTTTCCTATGCACGGTCGAAATTAGCACTTTTTTTGCCTTCTTTCAGGGGGTGGTGGTTGCCCTTTACTCAAAATTTATCGCTTTTCACCTATATTTTTCAATACCCTATTGATTGTAGATTTCGAAATTGTTTTCCATTCACTTTTAGAATGTTTAGCAATTCTGTTGTACGAGTATTTAAGTTTGGAAAGAGGTTTTATGGGTGTCTCAGCTTCTGGGGGCTGTGGGGGAGGCATTTTTGAAAGTAGGGAGTTGGTTTTTTGCACACAACTATTTGAGGATAACATGCTCCTCTGTTCAAAATGTTGACCCGTTGCGACAAACCGTTCCAGGGTTATTCAAAGTCAAATTCGTATCCACGTAAGTGCCCAACCCTTCTGTATTAAAGCTGCTGCTGATTGGTATTAAAATTATACAGGTTCGTAAAAATTTCCTTCTGATATGATAATACGTTGATACCAAGCTATTACTACACCGTATTACTTTTGAATACTACTTTGGTGGAGTCTCACATATATGAATACCACTTGGTATGATTTGAATACAGGATCTCTAAGAGTGTAGGACTTTCTGTGGGCACTCTTTCCCATATTTTTAAGATATATGTAGATGTCCGACAAGATTATAAATATTTCCCACGTGAAATGTTTTACCCGGACAAAAAAATACTTATCCTGAAAATATGTTTATCAATATTCGCCAAGTATTTGCTTAGAAATGACAAAGTTGATGACATTCATAGATATTAATATCCGGATGGTATACACAAATGTTACCAGGGTAAATACTTGTTGACAAACGTTTATGTAACTAATTTAAATTAACCTTTCGCTACTGACTATAGCTGCTGTTTCTGATTGCTACAATCAGAGGAGCCCATCCTCCGGAAAATAAAAGCGTTTAATTAAATAACATACCTAGCATGTAATAATTATGTAACCAGTGTGTTTTGAGTATTTCCTTGTGGCAAAAAATTGGTATTAGTTTTATGCATATATTGGTTTTAGAAGATATATATATGCATGCATGCCCCTATTTAAATGAACGATATCGCAAAAAAGTAAAATTTAACACTGCGACCGTGAAACCCTGGATATTACGTAACTGTAACTCTCTCGTTTATACATAGGCCATCATTTATTTGGTATAATGTCAGTATGTCTTTTTGTAATTCGCTGTGCCATGCAAAGTGAAAACCAACACTTGGAAATACCCAGAAAAATTGGTATCGAATTAACTTTGCTTTCGTACATGTGTAGAATAATACAGATTTCATAATTTATCTTAATCATAGCTGTGTAGGTCTGTATGTACATACATGCATATGTACATCATATATATCGTATCTATGTGTACGTACGTATGTACACATATAAATATACATATGTACATATATGTAAATGACCCAGCGGAGAGTAAATACTGGGTTGTGACTTTGTGAGCTTTGTGTATGAACATGCTTACATATTTAGAAATCATTTGATAGGATATACATATCTAAACAAACTGCGTACATAGTATGCTAAATTTAAACTCGACCTGTTTGATGACCTTTTCAAATGACGACCTTGCCCATTCCGCAAAGGGCAAAGAAAAAAAAAACAATCCGAAAAAAATCTTCGTATTGTATCCATGACTACATACAATTAAAATAACCATCTACATAGTTTTGATTGACAAGCAGTGGACCACAATACTCCACGCCCTAAATTGTATACTTTATCAACATTAGTCTCACTTTGTGGAAATGTGTAACGTTGGTGGTACTCTTATCTATGTAGTTACTTGTACACTATTTATGTTTTTAAAATATTGCATCAATTTACTTAGCTAGTAACTATGCACTGTTAATGAACCCATATATTCCAAACAATATGAACCCAATGCCATACTATGCAAGCCGATACATGATCATTAAATATGCTGCTGCTTCATGTAAAAGTTTTGTTTGTCTGTCTGTCTCCCCGTCCGTCAGCAATCTTGCCCTCGAAGGTGTCAAATTCAGATGGGTTCTTTGATACCGTGTTTCGAATTTTATGACCTCGATCAAGTTAGAAAAATTGGATTACTGAAACCAATTTCAAGGTGATTTTGAAGTGAGATCAAGCGCCAAATTAAACCTTAATTTTCAAATGTGTAATGTCATGTCACTGGAAATTTATATTTAATATCTTCAAAATTAAACTGTGAAAATCTTAACAAACAGACTTATTCGACTCGGACTTGAACAGTAGCGCAAACTTCGATCAGGGCCGTCTCATCGTTGGAGATTTCGGAATTGACGGGTAGCGTGTTTCCGGACAGGATGTCGTTTGGAACAATTGTGTAACGGAGGGTGACTGCCTCCCCCGGTTGGACGGACGAGCCCTCGAGGACGGTATCAATAATGATGACGGGGAAACCAAGATAAATGGCGGTCACTTTGAATCGTAACGCTGCAGCGGGTCGGCTTGTGATGATGTCACCCTCACAAGCGTATGGTTTGCCTGTAAGAAGATAAAACCAGGTTTTTAAAGCGAGGTGCATTTATTTAATGTGTGAGCATTTCTGTACTAAACTTATAAAAATGTATGTGTAATTACAGATCTTAAAGAGGTACATATTTAGGGTTTGATTAAAAACATTATTACATAAACAGATAGTTTTTCAATTAATTATAATTCGGACATTAAAACGAACTCGTGGCTAATTTACCTGGCGTCATAACGGCAATAGCTCCCTCGCAGTCTTGGATTCTCATCTCTCTCATCATGCCGGTACCTCCTGGATAATTCAAAAATTTTAAGATTTTAAGATTTCAAAATCAAATTTTACAACTTGAACGGCAAAACCTACCACATCTTGTGTGATCCACGATTCCCGACTGTACGGCGGCGATGCACAAAGCGGCCAAAATGATGCAGACCTTCATCTTTATAAATTTAACGAAGATACGGAAAAGCTAAATAGAATGAGTACAAATTTAAATAGCTACTGTCTGTGCAACACGTCCTGCCCGTCTTTTATATTGGGCCAACCTCAATAAAATATCGGGCTTATCGATGCGCTTATCCTCTGGAATTTCATACTGTTGGGGACGTGACTACGTAGGAAACGGGACATGTTATGCATAGACTCAATTTGGGAGAACAATAACAATCGCTAATGGCGTGATCTTTCCGAATCCAGGATAAAGCCGGTCCATACATATTTATTTGGCTCAAATAGGTCTGTAGGTTTACTGGAAAGGGTAGTGCCTCGTGCAAATCTGCGCCATTCAGGTGTCACGATTTGCACGAGTGCGATGCAAAATAAATATATTTAGCAGGATAATCTTTTTATGAGTAAATAGAACCTGCAACGTAAACATCATGTTTCGAAATGAAGCAATAAGCAGAGGTAGAGATACAAATTGAGCAGCAATAAAACATAGTATGGATTAACTTTTTATGAGATTAGTTTATGAATTTATGTATACGTATGCAACTGTGCATGTGTCTGGATTATTGGATGATTTAATCGGTACTTATACCCGACTTTGGGATAACTAATTAAAGCATTTTAATAATTTAATCCAGACGGTATGTACATGCTGTCTGTCCATTACAGCCAATCGGCTCATTTTCATATTTTTTAACCGAGTCTTTAAAATAAATATGTATTTACTGTATTTACTTATGTTTGTAGGGTCGTATCGCCGAAAATTAGAAATGCACGTAAGACTTGATTCAGTGCATGTCAGATGACGTTGCAAACATGATGCTATAAATCGTACTGGTAGAAAATACATTTACTGGGAATATGTACTATAATATAGTACATATGCATAGTATTATGCATATTATGCATAATATGCATATAGCATATGCATATTATGCTTATTATTATCTACATACATATGTACATAAATATGTACTTCTGTGCAGGGTTCGGAAAAACCCAGGGTTTTAATCAAGAATTATAAAACCCATGGGTTTTAATGGGTTTTACCATGTTAATTGGGTTTTATTTGGGTTTTAATGGGTTTTATTGGGTTTTATTGGGTTTAAATGGGTTTTATTGGGTTTTATTAGTTTTAAGTAATAACTTAACAAAAATAATTCGGAATTTGTATCTATTCTCAAATTATTTTTGTTTTATAACACTTGAATTCTGTGATGCTAAAGGATGGAGTCAATTGTTGATTTGTTCCGAATTATAATATACTAGAATAGTAATGAAATAAACTGCTTTAGAATGAATTGAGATAACGTCTTCTAACGTATAGGAGATGTATTTAACTTTTAGAATTTAGTTTTAAGGTAAAACTCAATTAAAACCCAATAAAACCTATTAAAACCCAAATAAAACCCACTTAACATGGTAAAACCCAGTGGGTTTTATTCATTTACAATCCACTAAAACCCATTAAAACCCAATAAAACCCAACCCATTAAAACCCAGGTCGGAATACCCTGCTTCTGTGCGTAGTGTACGTTAAATAAGAAATTTGTATAAGGAACCCTTAAAATTGTATGTACTACGGTCAATTGAAACCCACGTAGAAAATTATTTCTGATGAAAGTCTTGCCTTGTTGATTTCTGCAAGTTTGAATATTCAGTTTGCAATTGTCGTCTAGATACATCAATGTACGTACGTATGGTCGATAAGATCTTTTAATTCTGCACAATTTAAGACAAACTGTAACCAGACAATTCTAGTCGTACTAATTTTGCACGGATCTAAATACATAAATACTTCATAGCATAGTACATATGTATGCTGGCCTATGACTTCTTACAAATATTATTGCTTGGAAATCATGACTGTGCACATACATACATATGTACATTTACATATTTATAAATCATACGGAAATTTGTTCCAGAGGCATAAATTATTGGAAATTTATATATGTTGCAAATAATTGACTAATGAATTTCAGAACATCTATAAACACAATCCAAAATTGTTGAATTAAAAATGAACACTTCACATGCTATTTTTCAAGACGTTTGCTCGAAACAAAATTAATATATAATCCAGCCGGGCTTTCAAACCTCTGATTTTTCTATTCAGTGTTATGTGAATTCAAATTCGAAGTGATACTAAGCAAGTTTCCTCAGAAATTCTTGGTTGAACAATAAAAGAAATGACCCTGAATTCTTCTCTATAAATGACCACAGTGACCTAATACCTATACATATACCTAAATAAATGCATCAAATGAATTTTGAAATACACGGTAATCTTTCTCGCTAAGCAAAATATATTTGTGGCATGGCAAGTGGGGGTGGCTCCAACTGAAGTGGAACAAACTATTATTGATGGTGATCTGCAGGGTAGGGTCACCACTTTATCATGATAAATTTTTTGTAAACTTACAATACGATGACGCCAGCGGTCTCGCTCCGATTTTGATGAAACCACGATAATTATGTAGCCTTAGGTTGAACACGTTTTTCGGGATTTTTCATAATGCTCAGTTTAAACAAAGTTATAATGTTATAAGTGGCCGAACATTCGCATTTTTCTCCCCCAAAAACAAAAAAGAAAAACTTCACGAGAAAAATGCGATTTTTCTGCCACTTAGAACATCATAACTTTGTTTAAACTGAGCATTATGAAAAATCCTGAAACATGTATTCAATTATTTACCTAAGGCTACATAATTATCGTGGTTTCATCAAAATCGGAGCGAGACCGCTGGCGTCATCGCATTGTTAGTCCGATATGTTTCCAGATAGCCACATTTTTGCACCAACCAACCTCATCAGCTAGACGTACTTTCCTTTGTATGTTTGTATACTCATCTGGGCGTGTTAAATATCTATGAACTGCTGCTATGATAATGTTTGACAAGTCGGTGAAAATAATTAAACTTTCAAACAATAAATGTTTGATTTAGCCGTGTTTGAAATATGGATGTATCCGAGCAAAATTATATTTTGAAAATCAACAGCTTTCAGGCTTTATCTTATCACATTAGCTTTAGCTTTATTAGCTTTGGGTAAATAGGAGTCAACTTTTCAATGACTTATATTTACGTGAGCAGGAATTGACCGGAAGAATTCAGATACCTATCGAAGTACAAATACATAGATATTTACATACATTAGAATTTGACATCGATTTTCAGACAAATCCAATCCGTGATAGGAATTGAAAATTGTGTAAAGAAATAACCGATAGAACCAAAAATTGTCGGAGTTATGCCCATACATACATAGGTACATAAGGACCACAAAACTGTTTACAAAATTATGTACATTGTTAAGTGTAAAATGATGTATTTATGAAATTGTTTTATGTATTTTTTGTAAATTGTTGGATATGCGTGTAAGATTGCCCCGTGACGTGGTGGTGGTTGCCATGGTGACGTCAGAGTGGGATTTTGAGTGCGCGTCGTTCTTTGTTATAAGTCGTAGTAAGTAAGTAGGTAGAAGAATTCTACACAGTCGAGTTTTAGTCGTTGTCAAAGTCAGACATTTTGGATTTTAGTCGTCGTGGTAGGAAATCAAGAGTAAGAATTGTTAATTCTTTGTAATTGATGTCCACGATTAATTTGTCAATAGTAAGTCACCAATCAACTCGTGTTAGTGCAGAGCTCTGAATTGTGTTGACAATTAGTAATTTGTTGGAAATAAAATCCAGTTTAAGTAGATAAAATAATCGTATATTCACTCAGTCACTTTCTTTAATTCCAACGAGCAAGGCACAATTAAATATTCGTAAAGACACTATACTCCGGGTAGGTGATAGCTTGGTTTTTACATACATATTTACACCGTGGAAAACAACGGTGTGTAAATACACTCCACGAGACCACATCTAAACCATGTCCACTGTCCACTTTACCGATTCACATTTCCATTTATTGTCTTTTAACTTAAAATTATGAACTTTTGCTGATGTCTACATTACTTTCTTAAGAAATAATTCTCGTAAACGTTGGCATTGTCAACTCGGCAACATGCAACTCTCCAGTGAAACTAGATATACGTACTTATCATACACGCCTTAATTTTAAACTGCACGGATTGGACCCATGATTTAAGTATTTAAAGGCGAAACCTGCCCTCTCGTTTTAAACCATAGACAAGTTAGGCGTATTGCAATTTTCCGAACCACGCAAAATTGCTTAAAATCCTGGTGCAAATTTGTAATCAATGTATTAGAATCCTTTCAACCTTCAGATGCATCTTGGTCCTTATACAGCTATGTTTCATTCCGAATTTCTATCCTTGTTGAAGTTGCATATAAAAATTTGTCAATTTCTGCAATGCGTCGCAATTTCATGGGACGAAAAGGAGGAGATATCCATACAAACTAGGAGCCTTAAGCAAGCGCGAAGTTTCAAGTGGCAATGCACCTTGTCACTAATTTATTGCGGGGCAATGTTTCTCCACACATCATTTGGACGCTTATCACAAACCGATAAGTTCCAGGGGGCCGTCTTTTTAACGGTGGCTATTCTAGCCACGGCATCACGCTTGGTCATGGACAATTCTGGGGTTCAAATGCTTAATACGTTGCTCAAATTTGAGAAAAACGTAATTCAAGGTAATGTAAAGAACAGGTTTTGGTCCTCATTAATACAGATAATCCCATTACATATGTTTAGTGTAAACAGGAAGCATCGCCGAAATCGTCAAAATCATCACATTCTTGGTGCTGGGAATTTTGTTCAAAATTCTGGATGTCAAACAATAGTATAGTCAGGAAGTTAATTAATCGAATGTCGGTGAGTGTTATTAATTAAGGCCAGCTAGTTTTGATGACTCATCAATGATTAGCTTGAATTTTTCTTAAGGCCTCCTTAACTTGAGAGCTACATTTCCAAATTTGGAGTGCATGTTTTACAAAAAAATCACAACCACTTGCTCTACAAATTCGTCGTCCAGAATTTTTAAATAAATTCCCACTGCCAACAGCCGAGAAACGATTATAAATGTACGGATTTTGACGATTTTGGCAATTATTCATCGAGTCGTATGAGAAGTTGTACACCAAGAATGCAAGTTGTGC